ATTTTTTATTTTTTCGATTATTTTGATAAACAAACACAAAAAGTAATTCTTTTTAATTAAATTAGAATTTCGTTAAAATATCGTTCTACTTGAAAAAAATCACAAATTTTTCTACAATTTTATTTTAATTAAAAAGGGGTGTGGATAAATTTTGATACACCTTGTATATAATTCTATGCCACTGGTTCAATGGTAAACGGCAGAATTTATTTGTTTTTGGATTGTTCTAATAGAATTATTTTTAATTAAATTAAAATTTCATTAATTATTGTTTTACTTTAAAAAAATCCTTCCTACATTTTTAATTTAATTAATAAGAAATGTATGGGAGGGTGGGTGCGTATAAAATTTGATACACCTGGTATACGTTTCTACGCCACTGGTTTAATGATATACAGCAAAAAAAAATTCGATTATTTTAATAAACAAACACAAAAACTAATTAAATGTTAGGCATTTTTTTATTTAATTAAAATGTTATTAATTAAACAATCACAATTTTTTCTACAGTTTTAATTTAATTACTAAAAAAGTGAGCGAAAAAAAATTGATTCACCCGGTATGTTTCTACGTCACTGGTTTAATGATAAATAAAAAAATGTATTATTTTTTCAATTATATTAATATACAAAAATAAAAAGCAATTAAATGACAAATTATTTTTAATTAAATCAAAAGTTCATGAATTATTGTTCCTCTAGAAAAAAATCACATATTAATTTTTCTACAATTTTAATTTAATTAATAAGAAATGTTTGAGAGGTGCGCATAAAATTTGATTCACTTTGTATAAGTTTCTACGCCACTGGTTTATTTTTTTTTTCGATACTAATAAACACAAAAACTATAATTACATAAATTTTTTGACAAATTATTTTTAATTAAATAAAAATTTTAATTATCGTTCTCCTTGAAAAAAAAATTCTACAATTTTTATTTAATATATGAAGTGTTTGAAGGGGGTGCGAACATAATTAAACTCACCTTGTATAAATTTCTACGCCACTGGTTTATTTTTTTCGATTTTAATAAACAAACACAAACTAATTAATTTTTGACAAATTTGGAGGATGCATATGAAATTTGATACACCTTGTATACGTTTCTACGCCACTGGTTTAATAGTAAACAGCAAAATTTATTATTTTTTCGATTATTTTAATAAACAAACACAAAAACTAATTAAATGTTATGACAAATTATGGGTTAATTAATGTTTCTTTAATTAATACCCAATTTATGACACAAGCTTTATTTTTAAACGTGCGTTTTAAAATTATGTCCAATTAATCAAAACCTGTCATATTTACGACAAAATTAATTTTTTCAATTATTTCTAGCCATTTAAAACTAATGACCGGAGTGGCTAGTGACATATTTATTGCTTGTACGTGACGCCACTGACTCAATGAATAAATTTGTGAAAAAAAAATTTTTTGCTTAAAAATATATTGTTTAAAGGTCATCAAGCGCATCTATTAGATAACACTTGAATTTGGCTCGATTTATTGTTGACATTTGTTTACAATGGCCTTGAATCGCAACCTTGATACAAAATCTGCACTGAATCTAAACAATCACTCGAAAAAGCCCCATTTATATATTTTTAAACACCCATAAATTATCCCAAAGCATTCGTGAAGCATCTTTAATTCAACAAGTTTATTTTCGATAGGCGTGTGTTATTTTTTAACCTACTTACATTTTTTTTTCGTGGAAATATTCACGTCGGTTTTCGCGCCTTTTTCGGAAACGAAAAACAATTTTCGAAAATAAACAGGACGCCATTAATCCTCGATTTATTGCAAATTAATCAAGCACTCGGGAATGAGGTGACGTCACTTGTGTCACGAAAAAAACACAGCTATGGGAGAAAAATAGATCGCAATTGAGAGTTTTAGGTCACAGCTGACTTATTAATTGAACTTTGGCCCATTTTAGAGAAAAAAATTTAATCAAAATCAACAAAAAATAAAAACAATTTTGTATACAGCATGGCCCAGAAATGACTGAAAGTGAAAGACTTATTAACCGAAAAGTATGCGTTGCAAAGACAGCATTATTTTATATACAGCGTGTACCTTTTATTACCAAAACAAAATATTATAAAAACTTTTTTTCTCAATTTTTAAGATCATTTTTGAAAGATAAAATTACTTAATTTTTTTAAATCCTACCTTTAAAAACTTACACTTTTAATCTTAATAAAACAATATACACTTTTTTTTAAATTTTGGGTATGTTATTGTTGACTGGAGAAAAAATAGCATGTTTTATTCGGCTTAAAAGTGAGTTTTGTTTGCCTATTTGCTGGCCAAAAAGTGATACTTTTAATCCTAGTAAAACAATATACTATTTCACTACTAGTTGTAAAAGGTACCAAAATATTTAGTTTGTCAATAATCATTTTTTTACTAACCAAGGGCAATAATGGATTAGAGAATTTAAGTTAATAATGTATGTAATAATGCTAGCAGTAAAAAAAATATTATATAAAACACGAGAGAGAAGATTTTTATAGCATCGCAATTATTATTTCCCTCGATGCTACGCACCTCGGGTTATAAACAGTTCGACTATAAAAAATTTCTTCTTTTTCTTATTCTAGCACACTAAAAAAATAGTTAAAACAATTAATAAGGTAAAAAAATTAAAAAAATTTAGAATAGTGATTTTCGAACTTTAAATGCAAATATTGGGCCAAAATGGCGAAAACAATGTGAGATAAATATTTATAGTTTTTCTAAATGTTAATAATATTCGATGGTAGTGTTTTATTCGGCTTAAAAGTGAGTTTTGTTTGCCTATTTGCTGGCCAAAAAGTGATACTTTTAATCCTAGTAAAACAATATACTATTTCACTACTAGTTGTAAAAGGTACCAAAATATTTAGTTTGTCAATAATCATTTTTTTACTAACCAAGGGCAATAATGGATTAGAGAATTTAAGTTAATAATGTATGTAATAATGCTAGCAGTAAAAAAAATATTATATAAAACACGGGAGAGAAGATTTTTATAGCCTCGCAATTATTATTTCCCTCGATGTTACGCACCTCGGGTTATAAACAGTTCGACTATAAAAAATCTCTTCTTTTTCTTTTTCTAGCACACAAAAAAATAGTTAAAACAATTAATAAGGTAAAAAAATTTAAAGAATTTAAAATAATGATTTTCGCATTTTAAATGCAAATATTGGGCTAAAATGACGACAACAATAAATAAACAAAAAATATTTATAGTTTTCCTAAATGTTAATAATATTCGATAGTAGTGTTTTATTCAGCTTAAAAGTGAGTTTTTTTGTCTACGCTACGCTTCTCTGACAAAAAAGTGATACTTTTAATCCTAGTAAAACAAAATACTGGTTGTAAAAGGTACCAAAATATTTAGTTTGTCGAGAGGTGGTATAGTGGTCAATAATCATTTTTTTACTAACCAAGGGCAATAATGGATTAGAGAACTTAAGTTAATAATGCTAGCAGTGAAAAAAATATTATATAAAACAGGGTAGACAAGATTTTTATAGCCTCGCAATTATTATTTCCCTCGATGCTACGCACCTCGGGTTATAAACAGTTCAGCTATAAAAAATCTCATCTTTTTCTTATTCTAGCACACTAAAAAAATAGTTAAAACGATTAATAAGGTAAAAAAATTTAAAGAATTTAAAATAGTGATTTTCGCACTTTAAATGCAAATATTGGGCCAAAATGACGACAACAATGTTAGATAAATGTTTATAGTTTTTTAATGTTAATAATATTGGATGGTAGTGGTAAAAAACGAAGAATTTTCCAATTATGCAAACGAGTGATGCAAGCTTTATTTGTAAATAATAATTTTATTAATTGCATTTTGCACACTCGAGCAATAAAAACCGATTACAGGCAGTTTTGCGTCGAAAAATTCGCGAAAAACCACAATTTCCCCCCAAATTGGAACGGATGTGGTTTTTTTCATCTTAAAATATTTTTAATCGCAGGAAATTTCGAAAACAATGTCGATTTTGAATTTCAAGCGATGGTTTTATAGCGTTCTCAACGACACATAAACATGTATTTAGTAAATAAACGCATTTAATTGTCTAAATTGAAGACAATAATAGAAAAAATCAAAGCTCAAGCCATAAACCTCGAATCGCGTTAATGACACGATTATTTTACGGCTTATTATTTATTTCTATAAATACAGAGTGGCTCATCGGTGAAATGTGAGAAAATCCGGTGTTTTTCGCATTAAAATGACTCAAATATTCGAACAATTTGCCAACAAAGCGTTTAATTGAATCGTATTTTTAGCCAACTATCGATTACCTGAATTTGTTTATTTTTGGGAAATGGGCAAAAGTTGACTCATTTGCACCAAAATTAAGATAAATAAACATCATGAGAGGAGATAAGAGCGAAAAAATGTGGTTCTCCGGTCAACCGGACTCGATAATTCATCAAATGACATCCGTAAACAAAAAACTCGAATATTTGAATAATTTTATTTAAATGACGCGCGTGGTGACAATTGACTTACAATGGAGCGTCGTCGCCGCCTCGATGCGTCGTCTATCACTGATTTGAAACTTGTCACAGCCAACTACAATCAACAACTGCTGCAAAGTTGCCGAGATCTAAGGTAGTCCCTCCTACTCCGGCCATCCCGTATAAAAATAATAATTCTTCGTAGTCAGTGTTCAAATAGCACTTATAAATATTGTTTCAGAGATAAGAAAAATGTGTCAGATTTTTAACACTTATTGGAAATTGAATACAAGAATTTTGGCTGTCTGACTGAGTGTTAAATTAAACAAACTGGGAGATAAGAAGTGACACTCTGGAAAATTTTACGCCTGTCAAAACAAATGAATATCATATTTATCTCATATCAATTTGTTGGGAAGACAATAAGGAAGAAATGCCGTTAAGCAAACCGTTATTACTATTATTTCGTAAAAATTTGATCAAGTTGGCAACCTGGTGAACGGCAATTGTTCTAGAGTTTTGTAACACATTTATTATCGTTTATACAGGGTGTTTCAGAAATTATTATTACCAATAGAATACGCTAAAATAGAATTTGGCCACAAAAATATCAATAACTTGGCAACGTCGCAACCGAAATTTTAAAACAAAACGTGATTTTGTACCATTTAAATAAATGAGAATGTGGACCAAAATATGTATGTTGTGATTAAAAAAAAGTTGGATACGGTCCTGGAATAATGAAACCCCCTGTATATTTCAAAATTGTTTTAGTGAATAGAGATTTGACAACTATACAATGGGGCAAAAAACTACTTTTGTACTTTTAATTACAAGGTCATTACCTTTCGAAACCGTTCTAAAGACCCACCCTGTATAATAAAAATAAATTAAAAAAAATTGGTACAGAAAATTTTTAATAATTTCACTTATATCAAAAGAAACACACTGTGTTTGCATAATTTTTTGAGCGTTTTTAAATTTTATTTGGAAATCCTTTTTTTCATCCTAAACGAGTCGACTGTGAAGTAAATTTCTGTTAATTTGTGTAGTTGCTATAGAAATGTACTAAATTACGTATGTTGTTATGGTTACGAAAATAAAAACGTCATGACAACAATAAAAAATGCATATCAGTGGCGGGTGTTTTTTTTTATTTGGTGAATTATAATTACTTTTACATCGCGTTTTTGTAGTTGAATTTATTTAATTATTTTTAAGCCCGACTAAATGAAATTGATATTTTTAGAATAAAAACTCAAAAATATAAAAATATAATACAATTTGGTAAGCATTCTGTATAAGTGAAACAAATAAAAATGCCGTCAAACGATAGAGCAAAACTTTCTTTACTAATGTGCAAAAATTTACTTTTTCATTGTTAATAAAAATGATGCTAGAAGAATTTAAGCAAAACTGTATTTATTTTTAAAATTTAGCCACATAAATATTAATAACTTGGCAACGTCGCAATGTAAATTTAAAAACAAAACGTGCTTTTATTGCATTTTACATGATAAATGAGAATGTGGGCAAAAATATGAATGTTGTGATTAAAAAAGTTGAATACGGTCCTGGAATAATGGAACCCCCTGTGTATTTCAAAATTGTTTTAGTCAATAGAGTTTTGACAACTATACAATGAGGAAAAAAAATACTTTTGTACTTTTAATTACCTTTTGAAATCACTCTAAAAATTCACACTGTATAATAAAAATAAGTAAGAAAAAAATTTTTTTTTTAATAATTTCAGTGAAATCAAAAGAAACATAATTTTTTGAACGTTTTTCAGCTTTTTTTGAAAACCCTTCCATCCTAAACGAGTCGACTGTGAAGTAAATTTCTGTTAATTAGTGTGGTTGCTATAGAAATGTACTAAATTATGTATGTTGTTTTGGTTACAAAAATAAAAACGTCATAACAACAATAAAAAACGAAAATCAGTGGCGGGTATTTTTTTTATTTTGTGAATTATTATGATATTGATAATTTTAGAATAAAAACTCAAAAATACTAGTTGATTACGATAAAAATAAAATTATTATAGAATTTTGTAACCACCCTGTATAACTAAAACAAATAAAAATGGAGCAAAGTCTTCTTTACTAATGTGCAAAAATTTACTTTTTATTGTTAATAATAAAGATGCTAGGAGCCTTTAAGCGAAAGTGTATTTCAAAATTTGTCTACAAAAATATCATTAACTTGGCAACGCCGCAATCGAAATCTAAAAACAAAAAATAATTTTATAGCATTTAATACGATAAATAAAAATGTGGAAAAAATATGTATGTTGTGATTAAAAAAAAAGTTGGATACGGTCCTGGAATACTGATATTGTAGTCGATAGAGATTTGAGAACTGCACAATGAGACTACGACGCAGTTCTAAAAACTCACCCTATATAATATAAAATAATTAAAAAAATAAAAGATTTTTTTATTGATTTCAGTGATATCACACTGTTTGCAAAATTTTTCTGGCTTTTTTGCAATTTTATTTAAAATCCCTTTTTTTATCCTAAACGAGTCAACTGTGAAGTAACATTCTGTTAATTTGTGTAGTTGCTATAGAAATGTACAAAATTTTGTATGTTGTTATGGTTACAAAAATACAAACGTCATGACAACAATAAAAAATGGAAATTAGTGGCGGGTAAAACAGTTTTTCAGCCAAATCTGCCTCGATTTTTATAATTTTTTTGTTTTCTACATCGCATTTTTAACCCACTGTATATGATATTGATAATTCTTTTTCACAACTACAGGCTGTACCTCAAATTTCAGCCTAAAATGTGTATGTAATTAACATTAAATGCCGTTTCCATTGGTGGCAGTTATTTCTGGGACACTGTGTACAATGATTGAAAACACTGCTGCCACTGTTGAAACGAAAAATTACAAGCAAATGTGTGAAAATTGCACAATTATTATGAAGTGTGTCAGCATATGGAACAAATTTGGGATAAAACAAGAAAATCGTTTGAAATAAACCATAACTCCACGTCGTACTTTTAAATAAAACATGACGCGAATTTTCGCGGTTTTGACCTACCTGTTGTTTCCAAATTTAAATTGGACGCAAGTCCTGTTGTTAAAATCTCTGCTGCATTACTCACGACTTTCATACGTTTCTAAAATTATCCCGAATTATTTAAAAACGAAAAACGAAAGTAATTGGGGCTGAGAGCAATATTGGGAACGATATTTTTATCCCATGATTTATTACAATTTTTTATTCGTTGCTTTTAATTCATTCGCAATTAACATTCCACACTTGTGTTCGCAATTACTCGAAATAAAACACGCAAACAGTGTTCAAACTCAATTTTCAGAAAATTAATTAAACCTGAAAATACTCATGAAAACTATAGCCATTTCTATGGAAACCATCAACAGGTTGCCATAGTTACACCTGTTACTGTTTATTGCAAATTTTGTTATCAAATTTATTGTCTTTTAAACTACTTTTATGAGGATTATTATTATTACACTGTAATTAAAGATTCGTAATCTAAGATTTTTTTAAAGAAATTACTAATATTTTTGTTTTTGAAATAAAATAAAAATAAAAATTCAATCATTTAGAATCTTCGAAAAACATCTTCCTTTTTCTTCTGATATTTTGACCCAAAAAAAAATCTAATTTCTTCACTTCTTTCCCAGTTTCTGTTATGTTGTTTATTGAAAAATTTGTTATCAAATTTGTTGTCTTTTAAACTACTTTTAGGA